AATTCCCCAGCGATTCTACTCCAATGGCCAGGCTCGGTAAAGTTTCCAATATACCAAAGTATCCTGTACTCTGGAGAATTCCCACAATTTTCTACTGTACATGGACGAACAATCGATCGAACAGCCGTAGAATCTTTAGCAGGAATCGAGCAATCGTTTTCCAAGCGAACGCCAGCAGGAAACGCGAAACGTTGCCGTGAATTAGCATAACAAGATTCCGCGGTGTACGTAATGCGGCACAGACTTGCCACAGATTTGCATGGTCCATTTAAATACAATTTCTTTTCCTCGATCAAGAAATTACGTGAATACGCGAGCGCAACCTCTCCCTACCACCCACCCACCCACAGTTTGAATGTGTTGCGCGCCGCAACATCGAGGCGGATTAAAGGGGCCTGCATTAAAGCCGCCCTCCAAGGAAAAACCCCAACGAATCTCCATCGTGCCTTCCACTTTACGCGCCTCCTCCCTTTCCGCGCCTGTCCCGTATCTCGCGTGCCATGCTAATTAATTTTGCTTGTATATTAATCGCGCTGCCTTTCATGTTGCCCGTTCGGACATGACGAATATTACCTCGCCTAGTCAACCCGTTTCCTTTCCCGTTTTCATAACAGAATCAATTTACACGAGATAAAGAATTGCTCGAACAGGCCTTTCAATGGGTTTTTTAAATTTACAACGAAATCACCTTATGTGAAATTCAACCGTATCCATCGATAGCTACAGAAGAAATATTTTATGTATAACGCGCCACCGGATAGTGTTGAAAAATTGCTTTATAAATTATATCGTAGACGCGCGAGCAGATTTGGAGATTGTTTGAAAAATGGCCGTTTAAGTAATACATCCATCCTATTCGATGGATGATGTCATCTTGAAATAATCTTTCGTTAGTTTATTGGAACAAGCGAGTGATTCTTCTGGATATCAGTTTATTATTTGACACTATCGACTGTGACTCTTCGTTTTTAAGACAGAATAGATCCTCAGGTAATTTCACATTACGCGTCTCCACGTGCGTTCTACCTCGACTTTCATATCGATTACCGAACCTCCGAGGCCTCTTAGAATCAAGAGAGAAAGAATCCGACCGAATCCGTGAAATTCTCAGTCCCGTAGTGTTGATCGTTGCGAAAAGTAAACGGCATTGTTCCCCTCGTAAAGGATCCAACGTCAGGACGGCGGAGCTACTTCACCGTGAGAGGTTCGCGTCGTTTTTCACTCTGCTAGCCGGTAAGCGATAAGCGAAGCCGGGTGAAACGCCGCGGAAGATAGAAACCGCCCAGCGAATCCTTCGAAACAAATGCCCGGAACGTGTTGGCTTCCACGTGTGTGTATACAGACACACGGCAGAGACCAGCGCGTTTTCGGCCGGTTGAAGCGATCTGCAAACACGTATCGTAGCGAGGATTACGTGTAAGTATCGCGAACGGTGGAAAGGGAAAAGAAAAAAAAAAAAGAAAAAAAAAGAAGAAATAAGCGAGTAAAAAACAGAATTGAACAGAATGGCTCCGGCAAGGCGCAACCTCGAAGGATGAACGTTTGCGCATACGCGCGCGCGCGCACTCGCACTCATGAATCGACTAACCGGCGAGATTGTCGGTCCACCATTTCAACGGAGATGCAAATGCACTCCTGCATTTGTTTCTCCATCTGTTCAGAGACGCTTAGTTAGCGATTTACTGAGGCGTACCAAGCTGGAGAGTAGATACACGTTGCAGATAATAAAAAAGAAACCGTACCTAGTTTTACAATACTCGATGTACCTTTCTCTAGGATTTGCTTAATGAGACTTGACTGAAATCATAAATACAACGTTAGAATTACCAGTCCATCGGTATCGCGAATTTCTCAGACCTCTTTGTTTTAGTTACTATCATTTGAATTGTGATGATTTATATACAAAATGTATCAGCACGTGTTACAGACTGAGAGTTTTAGCGTGAGACTAAAATTGACGGAGAATAGAGGATGCGGGGAAGTTGCAACGAGACTTGCGTTACATCCAATTGAGATGATGCGACCCGAAAACAACGTTATGTACATTTCTGTACATTTTCATCGAACATTCTGTTGGTCCTTTCTCTACGATGACGGCACCACCGTAACGTAATGAAAAACGTGTTCACTTCCATTTCATCACACGGCAAATAACAGAATAGACGAACAACAAACAAACGAAAAGTGTATGCGTGAGAATTAGATTTTCAGTGAGGATGCAAAATCCGGCGAGCGCTGTTTTCGATAGTTACCGATTCGAAAAAAATTATCGCATCAATATCAATAGACTCGTTCGTCCTAACTGTCTGTTTTAAATCTATGAAAAATTATGTCAAATATTGCTTTCGAAAGGGAAGCCGTTTGATAATTCTGTGATAATTTTGCTACACCAATAATTCGGTATTCGTGAAATACAAAAAAATCGAGCACGAACACGAGCAAGATAAAAGGTTGGGTTGCAATGACGGAGGAGTGGGGAGGAGTGGGGCAGGGGGGGGGGGTGATCAGGTGAATTCCACGGGTGCAAAACGATTTATGAGAAGCGAACACCCGGCTGTAAAATAACACTTCCCATTCAAATCGACAAATTAATGGTCGTTTTCATGGATTCTTTGTTTGCACCGACCCGACAATGGCTCGCTGCTGGGTTATTATTCTGAAATACTACTATGTCCACCGAGTTGGAGCAGAATCTGTGGAACGTGCGCGACCAGCTCCAGTTGAAAACTTCCTTTTTTTTTTTTTTTTTTTGCCCCGGCCAACACCAACCACGGAAGCCGAATTAGAAACAGAAGATTTGCTCGCGAATTCCGATGATTCTTCCCTGATCAAAAGTCGCTGCGCCGATTTTACCCGAAGCATCCAATATTTTTACAATCTCGAACAATTGAAAGGTTGGTATCCCGTTTCAATAAGCCAAAGGTTAGATTTGTTAGGTCAGTTTAAGTTAGAAGTTTCCGAGTTCCGAGTGAATTCCATTGCTTTTGCTATTTTATTCATCGATTATCTAGCACGAAGTTCAATCTCACAGGTGCTTTAAAAGGTTCGTCGGAATCGATGCAGACCCAACGTTCTTCTAGCTTTCATTGACATTTTCCCTCGTTCGTCTTGATACTTACTTCAACTTACTCTTTTCGTCGACCGAGAACCGTGGAATGATCGAAATTGGAGAAAAGTTGAAGAAAGAAAGTTGACGAAAGGAGTTACCGATCCATCATCCCCGGTAACGTAAATATCGAACACCGCAATGATGTTCATTTACGTGCATGAAACAAACGCACGTTTCGTTTCCCAGTCGAGCACTAATATTCTCGTGAAGGCAAAGAACTCCTCTCTGCTATTCGCGTCTCTCCTTTTTCTTTTTTTTTCTTTACCCCGTCCTGTCTTTTCTGTATCGAAATTAATCCGTGTCACTCAGCTAGACGCATGGAAATCCTTTGACAACGGCGGGGCATCGATGAAAGGCCGTTGAAGAATCGGCGCATATTTCTGCCGTTCGAAAAGGTCCCGTCGCAGTCGCCGAGCACAAAGAGCCGTGCCGTTGGAAATGAAAACGTGAAAAATAGGAGAGAAGGAAACGCGAGTTCAGAATCTGAACTCTCGGCTAGCCTAGAGTCCTCGATTTTTCCGTGATAACGATCTACCGACGTCGTCGAAATTTCAACAATTCTAGACGAACGTGTCCGAATCGAATTTCATTCGAATAATAAATCCTATTGATGTTCGATCCTCGAACTATCTCGCGGAATCACCGCTGGCGAAAAAAGGAAGAGAGCGAGAGAGTTCGACTCTCGTGCGAGTTTCCACGAAAAGTAAACACGTGGACTATTCATTTGTGTCGGAGCAGCTACGTCCGCACGGCGGCCATTCATTTTATATGGAGTTCCGTGACTCGATGAAATAAAGGCACACTACCGCGCAACGCGAAGAAATTCCTAAATCTTAACCGGAGATCGGCACTCGGGCAAAATGAACATTCCTTGATCCATCTTGGATCAACGGAGAAACGGCTCGAAGTTGATATGTGATACAAAATCAATATGTTTCATAATAAAAAAAATAACATGATAAAACAGGTTTTACATTTTTAACGCGTATATATAGATAATGTCTCAATGCGAAATTTCTAGATAGTGAAAGAATGATAATATTTCCTTTGGAAAAGTGTCTCTGATATAAGCTAACACTTTTACGATCGCGCTACATATTCGCACGACTGTGCTCAACGCCCGATACTAGTATAATAATATAGGTGAAAGATACGGTATTTCGTATCATATAATACAATCTAGTGTAACACTGTGCGTAATGATAAAGTTACGTAATATAAACGTAGTATAAATGTAAAGTCGCGGCAAAATGTTAATATTAAATTTCGCGTTAACGCTACAACGATCGGTTACTTTCGGAGAGTAACTTTTATCAGGGGCCGACATGTTTCATTAAAAATTCATAAAACGCGAAGTTTGTTATGTACAAAAGAATTTCTGAAAAATAACAGAGCAGAAATTCTAAATACACGGGTAAATGAATACAAACATCACCTTATTAACTTGCGTGGCTATGATACAACTATACCTGGTCAGATTCTTTTACACTCGAACCTTGTCATTCAAATGCAATCGTAATAATACAATTACTAGAAAATAGAACGAATGTAGCAAGCATGTGTATTGCGATTTTACAGAGCGTCTTGCTAAACCAAAATTTTCATCTTTTACTCGACTTCCTCTAGTTTACACTGCGAAACAAATATTCTATCGTTTTTTATTGTACCTGTGCAACGTATGTACATCTCTCTGTATCGTCTACGTTCCGTGCTCCGCGTTAACACGAAAAAATCTTCCCCGATAAATAAACAAAGACGTGTGTGGAAATTTCACGGAACGACGCACTTCTCGGAAAACAAAGTTTACCGAGAATCGCAGGACGCGGCGATAACATTGCCGGTCGTCGTAGCGTTGTCAATGAAAAAAAGTGAATGTGAATAGATGGTGCGTCTAACCTTGTACCGGTGCGTAAATGTTTAGGTAGAGGCAATCCTCGCTCTGGTTCCTCAGGTAGGGCAGCAATCTCCTCAAGTACTCGACCCTGCCTTTCGGCATTTTGTCACTGAGCTCCGGCAGCCTCTGCGGGCAGACGGGCCCGAATTTGTCGGCCACCTTAACACCGTGCCAAAGCGCACCGCTGACAGGAGGCATGAAACGTAACGAGCCGACCGGCGGCGACGCGTACGGAACACCGCGGAACACCTCGACGCCCTCGAGGTGCCGATCGAGGGTCACGATAACGCCCGACAGTTCTCCGTACTTTGTCCTGACGATCCTCGAGCTGAGCTCGGCGCTGGCAGTCGCCAGGATTAGGCCGAGCAGCGCCAGGATCGACGACGTCATCTTCGTTCGCGCCCTTGAAACCCCGTCTCCACGCCTGCTCCCTTTCGCGATCACTCGAGCTCGACCGACGATATCATTTCCCCCTTGGAATCTCTACCCGCCTCCGGAGGCCGGAACGCGCACGATCGTGCCCATCTCGTCGCCACGAGGATCCGGCGCGCGTTCAGGATGCATCAGTGGGCGATCCGTGTCGAGACGTACAACCGGAATGGTTCGTTTCGTTTAAACGTTTCACCGCGGTTAAATGCTTTCATCCAAGTATATCATCCACGTTTATATCATCCTTGGGCTTCTCGGAGAGAGACAGGGAGTGAAAGAGAGAGAAAGGGAGAACTTGCACGTTATTACGAGCGAGAGTTGCGAGCAAGCGAGTTTATTATCAAAACCCGAGTCCCTTTTCGCGTTCAACGTTGTTTGTCCATCCCTTCCCGGAGAACCTCCTCCGACGAATCTTCCGCGAACAGTCAACACGCGATCCCGACAGACATCCCCGAGTCGCCGTTATGAAAGGTAAACACGGTGAGAGCACGCTGTTTTATTATCCGTTACGCCTGACACGGTTTTCCCTCGACGGGCACGTATATTTTGAGAATGGTGTCCTGATTGCGTCGACACGGGAATGATCGCGACTGGATCAAACCTCGAGTGAGGTAGTTCGTCGTTTCGGAGCAATGGTCCGGATCATTTTGAAAATCGCGTACGACTCCGAGTTACAAAAAGACAATCTCGTTTCTGATAGCGTGCTTGATATGGCGGTACAAGTAGAAAGCGCCCGCCCTAATGATGCCCAAGAGAAAGCCACGGCTCCGATGTTTACCGGTTCGCTTCATCCTTACGACCCGAGCTGCCAGAGCGGATAGAGGAAGGAAGGCACCGGATGCCGTCGAATTACGTCCACCGTTTCACTGCTGCCCCTCTCTTTTTCTCCTTTCTCTTTCTCTTCCTTTGGACGGACCGAAGCTTCGGAAATTCCCTTCTTCCGCTCTTACGCGGACATCAGCCCCGCTCTTTCTTCCGTATATTTGCCTTTCACGGAATTGTGCGAAAGCCGTTTGGCAAGAACTTGACGCAGAACAGCATGTTACAGCATCCCGGATGATCACCGTCTATAACACGGACATTTCGTAATCGGAGCAACTTGAACATCCAAAGACACACGAGACCCAATGATCGATCACTAACGACGACGAAAAATCCACACCGAATCACACTGTCACACCGTGTGTTGCTCCATTCATTCTCTTGTCCTAACCAACAAACTGTATCTACGTCCGCGTACGCTGTTGAAACCCCGTGCCCGCTCGGTTCACATACCCTTGACGAGTTCGAGGGAAGCTCGCGAACGATCAGTGGTAGCAAAACGCGTTCGTCGGTTTCGGTGAGCAACTATAAGGGAATGAAGGTGTACGGACGCACGCAGCACCCTCGATCCGGCCGGAATTTGCCACGGAACGACACACGCGACGACACTGGACCGGAAACACTCTTTTCACGCACTTCACACTTTCCGGAGTCATGTGGCGATCCCTCTGTCACGTGGTGGCCGCGTAACGCGATCCAATCCACAGATAGATCATGAGGATCACGCATTAGAAGGAAAAGGATGCGAGACGCGAACGCGGACCCCGCTGGACCAGGGGAGAGCCGAACTTTCCGTCACTTGAACCTCGGACAGACTGGCGTCAAGCGACGTTGCTCGCGCGAAGCTGCGCATGCTCCGCGCATACGTTACCCACACCGCTCGCGACATGGGCGGAAGTCCGCGGACGCGTCGATACAGCAGGTGGCGTCGACATCGACCGGAGGAATTTGGTTTGCGTCTCGATTTCACCAGTTCGCCTCACCATAAACTAGACTTCATCTACTTATTACGCGATCGAGTTCGATATTGCATTGTGATAAACACGACGCAGTCGCAATGATTCAGGGATTATTTTAATTCGGAGCCGTTAATTTTTGTTTGTCACGGTTCGAGGTAACAAGGTGCAATTCTGCACAGTTATCTTTATCATTATGTCTTTTGCAGTATGTCGCAGTCATGTTGCCGCATTCGTCCGAAAGGAAAAAAAGTCAAACATGAATTTTTCATCTGAAAGTGATCATTTCGTTGTAAACTATAAAATTATACCAGCATCGACGATTGCCTGAGGAAGTTACAAATTTGATGAACTTCTATTTTACATAACTGTCAATTTGTTCGTTCGTTCATGTTCGTTTCATTCTAATTCATCAAATAATATTTTTTCTCACATGAATACTTTGCGTTGAAACACATAGAAAATTTCAAAATCTTCAATCTATACTTATCCAACTATTTTTATCCAGTAAATCATTTAAAAATTCGAGCAAATCCGAATGAAAATATCTTTCTAGTTGAATGGTTGTGCAGAATAACAGAGAGAACGCGTTTTATTTAAGGCGTTGTATTGTATAATTTTATGAATAAATTACACACATTTATTTTTGTATTAATATTACCGAAGAAACAGAATTGCCCATTAAAATCCATGTTAACGTAAATACGTCGGTCTTGTGTATGACTTTAAGTAAGAGCAAAGTATGAGCAAATACACATTGCATCGGAGTTAAAATTATGGCCCAGTTGAAGTACTCTTTTTGATAAGCTGTAGCAAGATAACTGGATCCACCAATAACTTGCAAACAAAACCTGATATCCTGTATATACTCTCGTTGATCATATTGTAAATAGCAACTTACAATGTTCGAATTATTTTGATTGCACTTTATTTCTTTTCCGATGAGAGAAACTATTGCAATTTTCCTTGCACTTTCTTTTTCCCGTTGAAAGGATATACTGGTTTAAAATACCATATTTAAATTTTCCGTAAAAACTGAGTTATGTTTAGTTTAGTGGAATTCATTTAAAAATATCTGTCTTATTGACTGACACAATTCCGTCCGATTCCACGATTTCATTCTCCTAGTCCGGAAAAAGAATGAAGAAATATTTTGATCGAATACGAATCGTATGGTGTGAACCAAAATAAAATAAAAATTTTGAGTGAAAAAAATGCTCGTACTTTTCATCTGTAGTATTGATTTCTCAAATATTTTGTATTTATTTGTTGTGTATATTAATATGTTCAAAAAAAGGTAAAAAAAAACAGTCGGATTCTAAAAGTTTTAATTCGTGCGATAATTAATACGTGTGCTAAAGATAATAAAATTTTATGTTAATCGTTCAATTAGGACTTTAAACATTACTACTTCAAAAAACATATAGTTAGATTTCAAACATCTGAAATTAGCTCAATTCTGCACAATCAAATGAATTCTTCTGCGAGTACACGATTGCAAACACACGTGTTTTAGGAAAATGTAAAAAAAAAAAAATTGATTTTTCTCAAATTTGTAAACCAGTATATCCCTTTAACTAGGCTATAGGGGCGATCTTCGATTTCTCACTTACGCGTGAAATTGTCGAATATCGTGCAGTTTGAAACGAAAGAAAGATCGATTGCCATGCAGTTAGGTAGACGTTTAATGCAACGGAACAATGGCTATCTCTCGTTAACGAGGTAACGTCGAACGTGTATCGACAACAGGCCGCTTTAGTGCTTTCAATCTCTCTGTCTATGCCTAATAATAGATCCACGCACGAACGTTCCCAAAATGCTGCACTCGATATCGGTGCAAGCGAGACAATATGAATTTCTATCAAAATTGTCACACTTGACAGTTACTTTCAAAGCTCGAAGTCGAAATCTTTATCGAGAGCAAGGTATCGAGTGGTGAAAAAGAAAGAAAAGGTTCGCAACAATTTTCATCGTGTCAAACATTCGCGAGTCAACTTCTGGAGATCGTTTTCACAAAGTTGATCGTGCACAGATTCGTGTAAATCACGCTGTTTCGTGAATCATCTCGAAGAGATGAGAGTGAGAAAAGAAGGAGCCTGGATGGGCGGAACGAAATTGGAATATCAGCCTGCCTAGCTAGCAGGTGGAAAACTTTTTAACGAGAATTTCAGAGAAGAATGACTAAAAGCGCGGTTGGTTTCTTCGCAAAGTTTCGCGATGTACAACACCGTCTCGTCTTTATGGTTCAGTCTGTGTAGTTATACTCGCTAACAAACTTCGATGTACTCTAAGCTCCTCTTAAAACAGAATATCCCCGGCTTTTTGACCCGGATGCGTGTCGAATGGGCCACCGACGACACGCAGAACGACGTCGGCACGTTCTAGATAAGCCTCGACCTGTGGACTCGACTCGCGAACCCAACCGGTGGTAACTCTGCAAAAACTTTGATACCAGAAGGGTAATTACGTCCCAATGTAACATGTTCCAGTTTTAATTTAAAGTCTTCGCCGTACAAAATGAGTATAAAACGAGCCTTGGTAAAGGCATCATGAGATTGATCGAGAACTAATTCATCGTTTTAAAACTACCAGGATCCCAAAGTGCGTACATACATATTCATTGAGAGTATTTTGCTTACCAAGAATACCTGTACTTTAATCGAACTGCCACAACTTTTTTTTTTATTTAATGCCTCCTAACTTTAATTACATATTACGCTAGTTATACAATATTAATGTGAGCGAATGAGTTGCTAAAAATTACTTTCCACCAACAAAAAAAAAAGGGGGAAAAAAAAAACGGTGTTTTTATCGTATCAGAGAAACTCCAATAACGCTTGTCCATGCTTGCAGAAATCGAGGAATTTATTATTGATTGGTTACAAAAAGCTGGGATGCGTGTTGGTGAATGAAAGTTAGAGTGGTTAGTACATAATTCCACGGGTCTATTGTTGCTCGAAGGTGTTATCGCGAGAAGCGTAGGCAGCCCCGTACGATGCAGTTTACTTAACGTCAAGATAACGAGGCCGTGAGTGGCTGTTGGACGAGCCTTCATGAATTACCGACTTAATTCTTCCGGGCATGAAGGCGCGAAATGCATTTAACATCGCTCCCCGACGCGCGGCGTTCTAGTGCGTCAACTTTGCCAATGCTATTAACTCGTATCCTAAGGCTAACGTCAGCCTTTCCCACTTGCTTCCCCTAATCATTGGGGGGTTGCGAGTCTGCGTGTCGTTGCTTGTCGAAAGCAGTGCGTAATTCAATTAAGCTTCCACTCGTAAGACGTTGCCTCGAGGGGCCGGCTTTCTCGAAATCGCCGCCAACTACACCGATAGCGATTTAACTATACGCAAGCGTAATATTCAGGCTTAGTATGTTACTCGACAACTTCTTTCATTATAAATGATATTTATGATAGATAAGATAAATGATGTATTTAGGCATTTTACGAAAATTTTTTCGTTCTTAATCTGAGGATCAACTTCGATCAATTCGTATTACCAAATTCTATTCTTTATCATTGGCGCTGCGAGAGCAGACTCTAAGAATTAAAGCGAATACATCTTCACCATTATGCTTTCTATCTAGAATCTATAATTTTACGAACTTCCAAAAAATTAAGATGAACTGCAAGATAATTTAGCGTTCTTTAGCAATAGTTTAGCGTAATTCACGCGGCTTTTGTTATCCATATGTCTGAAATTGTTCGTTTTCACTCTAATGATAAATGATTAGTTTGAGCTGCATGTGAGGTCAGAGAGGAGAAGGTAAAATGTTCGCCAAGCGTCTCTACTAAGATATATTTCACCCCTTTATTCCCACGTTTCTGTAATAAATTTTATATTGTACATTGGACCTGCTGAATGCGGGGCGTACAGCTCTCGCGCTGCTAAAAATTATGGCCCCTGTAAAAATAAACCCCTAGCCGTAGTTTACCATGTTCAGTGAGTATCGGATCTTCCTCTATACGGCTTTTGTCTATAAAACTTCGTTATTAATAAATCTAGTCAGTTTCAGTTATGAAACATTTTAAATAAATTCTATCTCGCGACGCGTGAAAAAAATCGGAAAGTTTGCGTGTCTGACAGAGCCCTTTTACATCGATTAGCGAGCAACTTTGTCACGGAGCTGCTCAAAGAAATATGTTTTTTACGGACGTCGTGCGAACGAATGTCGCATAAAAGGCGTGCAGCCGACAGGAACGCGCACCATTTCCGAGATTGCAATCCATAACGACACATCAGTCGACCCGGATCAACGAAACTTGCAACGAACGATGGTCCGCGGAGTCTCGTTTCACGCTCTGCGCCGGATTTATTAGCTGATTATGATGAGAATCCGATCGACGTTATCTGGTGACCCGTCGCTCGAAACTCATTGGAGAAGCGAAATTACCTGGGCCAGAGCTCGTGAAATTTTTTATTAAGAATCAATACCAAGGCGATGTTAAGCCGAGCGACGAAGAGAATAAAAAATACGGGCGAAGCGAGAGAATATAAAAAAGGCTCGTTCAACCGTGAGAAAGCCGAGTGTAAGTTTGGCGAAGTGTAAGGAATAAAAAGTGACGTAAACGAAGTGGCGTTGTCAATGACGTAACCGCAGTGTGTGCAATACACGCGTCGTCAGGCATTCCGATGAATTCGCGAAACGTTATGATTTATTCATTTCTATTAAAGTGGCCTGGAAGATGAACGTCGCGTGGGATAGAAAGAATAGAGAAAGCGGAGGAATTTATCTCGGCGAGGTTCATTCTAGGATAGCGATGCCCTTCCGCAAGGATAAAGGATCCGTGCCAAAAACGGACAGTGTTTTACGACGCTTTCTTCGTTCAAGCATTTCGCAC